AAAAAAAAAATCTGTATTATTTAGTCCTGAGAAAACAAATCCTTAAGGGAACTAGATCAAGACAGCAGTGACATTCAGTGCCTACTGATTTTAGTGGGAGTCCAAAGGACTAGCAAGCAGCTTCAAAAATCACCACAACGAGCCAGGTTCTGGCTCCACAGAGCTTTCAGGTACCAAACAGAGGGTGGAGAACCAGTGCTTAATGCATAAGGAAAGGTTACAATTCTCAGTAGTACCACTAAAAAAAAAAAATCTGTATTATTGAAGTCCTGAGAAAACACTCCTCCCTATATTAAACAGCTCACTGAGCATGACTGAGAGCTACTCAGACATAATTCATTCTCTCTCTTTATTCCCATCCCTTCCTCACCCAGTTCTCACACTAATCTAATGGTCTGGTGCACCATGTATTCCCCATAGGAAGGCTACCTACATTAACATCGAGGGAGCTGGCCTGCTCCAGAAACCGGAGCTCAGAGCAGGGACCAGTCTCACTCCTCCAGCTGGCACTCAGGCAGCTTTCCCAGCCCCAGAAGGAAACACACAAGATATTCCAGCAACGCCTTCTACTGAGCGAGGTGGAAACAGCAAGCACATAGCCCTACATGGTCCCAAGCTGCAGCATTCTCACCCTGGTTACCTTCTCATACAGGCTGAGACCAGTAACACCAGAGTGACTGCAGCTATGGCCAGTCTAACCCACCCGGCTCCTTTGCTCCTGCACAGAACCACAGGCTCTTGCCTTCTCCTGGCCACTATGAGATTGCTTCATCTTGGCCCCTCGAGCCCCTAAGCCACAGCAACAGCGCCCTCTCAGGTATTGCCCATGGCATGTACCCCAGTTTATCAGGGTGACCCTGTCTTTTGTGTGTGTGCCTCTGGCACAGCTAGACTGAAAATACAAATCTCCGCTGAGGGAAAAATGGGGCAAAAGGAAAGCACGGACTACAACCTTGATGCTGTGGGACCATATTCTGTGGTTTTTTTAAAGCTGGAATCTATAGCTAGATTTACATGCATATATGTGGTACAGTAGGAATTTGATTGAAGGAAAACTCATGTAGCTCATGAATTAGCTCTGAATTCAGCAATTTTTACACCCATGCCTATATAATTGCTTTAAAAGTTACGCATGTCCAAAAGCATCTTGGCAAATCAGGGGGCTGCTTAAAAGAACATTTAAAACCAAAAAGTAAATATATTAAAAATCAGTCCTTGAAAAATACCACTCGGCAGCAGTGACTGAGTTTATTCTGTGAAAAGAGAAATCTTCCTACAGCAAAAAGAATAAAGAAAACAACCAGTAAAGAAAGACATCGTCTCCACTAAATGAGTGGAAGTAAGGACTGAACTTTGAACACTGGGTTACATTTCCTTCTATGCAGGATAATACCTGCAATTTAAAATGAAATCCTGTTTTGCATTTATTTCAGTTGTTCTCAATGAAGTATTTCAGAAGGCAGGTTCTGCCAGCCAGATGTCTGTCCCACATTAATATTGTTGTTAAATATTGTTGATAAATGACCAGTTGGGACCACTGTCCTTCAACCTGCTTCTTTTCTCTCAGACCAGACTACCATCCTAAACCATAAGTGCAATCTAGTACTTCAAGCATGCTGCAAGAGAGAATGTGGGGTCTTCTGAGGAAAAATATAGTTGAAAACTATTATGTTCTTCCAGGACATACCTTCAGCAGATATACTGAAGCAGATCTTCTATTTGGCTGATAATTGACTGACATGTACGTCATGAACAGAGCCCCTTTTCCTATTGCTGGTGTTCTCAAAAAAAACCCCAAACCAAAAAAACCCCACCTCTTTTTCCCGGTGGAAGAAAAGTAGTCCATAGAGAAGCAGGATGTACAGAAAGTTAGCCTCCAGGAGTAACCCAGAGACAAAGCAAGCCGAAGAGAAGAAAGGAGTTCAATTATGCTCTTACACTGACATTAATGGAAGTTGAATTAGGTCCAGCATTAGTAGAAAAAAGCAGCTCTCCAAAGCACTGGTAGAGCAAACACTGTTGCCATAACTACCTCACTCCCAGAAGCACACCAATTTAATTTCTACAGTTAAGTATTTACAGAGTAGATTGCATGTTTTCAGGATTTCCAGGAGCTGCTCGTAGAATACAAATGCACAGTCCTGTCTTCAGGGTCCTCACAGAAGATTTCCAGAGTCACACCTCACCCCCTTGCTTCATCGCTCCCTACACACCTAGTTATCTATCAGGAAGGAGGAGTATGGCTGCCCCAGGAGGGAGGACAAGCCCAGAGCCAAGGGTACCCACGGCACAGGCTGGGAAGTGACTGCACCAGCAGGACACAGTCCCACAGCACCTGAGCAAGGTAGGATGGTGACAGTCACAGGTCCCACTGACAGCCCAGGCATCACCAGACCACACAAGGCAATGAGTCGGAGCCAAGGTCAAGTGAGTCTGGATGAGCAGGGCGCAGGGGGGAACATGGCTGTACCTGTGGCACAGCTTTAGCAAAGACTGGGGACTTGCCTGAAGGCAGGTTCTTGGCCACGGGCAGAGGTCCCAGGCAGGCTAGTCAGGGCAATTAATGCCTGTTGGTGCACCTAGGATATGGTACTGCCCTTGCACCAAACTGCTCTGATATGCTTCTACCAGCCATCACCTAAATCACCCCGAACCACTCTGTAAACTTTAATTCTACTTCAGCTATATATGACTGCAGCATATTTGTTGGAACTGTCCACATGTCTATAGAACCACTGAATTCTTTCATCCTGTTTTTGCTTCATCCCTCTCACAGCTCTGACACTGAAGAAACTTGCACATAAAGAATCAAGAAAAAAATAGGCCTGCAAAGATCTTACAATGAAATCTAGTCCAGATCCATGGAAGTGGATCCTCTGCAACACCAGGTAGAACAGTGTGTTTTGGATATCTAACCTGTTCCTAAAGACTTTCAGCAATGAGAAACAGCGCAGTCTCCAAGAAAATGTATTCTTCATTATCTATACCATTAAAATACTTTTTAAATCTGAAACTGCTTCTGGTACTCTCCCATGACTTAGCTTTAAAGAAGTATGGACTTAGATGCATGATAGGGCTTTAAATAACTGCATGGCCAGTTATGGCTCATTAGATGCATAGTTAACAATTGCAGTGGTATTATGGTTGCACATTTCAGCCCCATATATAGTCTCTATCAACATACTGTGACAAGAATTATGCACATGTATGTTTATCCAGCTTGATGCTGATTTGTCCCTTAGGAACAATGACATGCAGAGTCACTTTAAGATGAAGCCCTACAATTATGAAATTTTTCAGGGTAGAAACTTCCTAATTGTCTAGCTTGGATGTGTAAATAATGCATCGCAAAATCCTTTAGTTAAGTTCCTTAGGAAGGACTAAAGAGTGTGAAGTCAGGGATCCTACCTAAAGCCTTCACTCTCCACACATTTCTGCTCCAAGAAGGCACCCAAATGCCACAAAATTCTCATCCAGAATAAAAGTTCACTTTGGCATCATCAGTCAAAGGATACCACTCACGGCACCATGGGATTTAAGAGAGAAAGCATGTTTACCTTGACAGATGACCACGTTACTTCGAGGCATATGGTAGTCTGACTCTTGTAATGTTGCCAGGTACTCCCTTGTATGTTGGGTGCTGACTATTCCAAATGGGTTCAGATGGAAGTTATCTTAAATTAAAACTATGTTCAGTCCTAAGAAACAAGTGTTATTTATTAAAAAATAAAATATCTTGAAAATACTTTCACAAGCATATTTACACATACATAGAGACACTATGGCTTTAATCTTTTGGACTTAAAACCAGACTTATCTCTATAATCTTCAAAATAAAAAAGATAGTGTTTTAAATTACAGAAATCACACATCAGCAAAGTCACACATCAGCAGTAACATTTACATCATTACATTTGGTGTAAATTTCAAGACAAAGAAAACAGTAAACCAGGCTTCAATAAAAACAAAATTATTTTTAAAATGTATGTTCTGATTAGAGGAAATAAAAATAATCTTAGAAGGTTAAAAATGATTCTGTTATAGGTTGAACACTATTGGAGAAAATAAATTTGTCAAAGGAAACAGACTGTCATATTGTTTTTTGGGTTACCTCAAGGGTTGAATTCTCATTTCCCTAGGCTACTACCATAAATAATTATTACTCATTGTTTGCTCCAGACATAACCCAAACTAGTACATTGATTACTTGAAATGAACAAGTTAATTCAATATTGCAGAAATGCCAATTGTTCATTTATTTTGTTGTTCTTGATTTCAATGGGATTCTTAAGAGTAAGGAATGTGGGGCTGGATCACTAAATGCTGATAAAATGATAATATTTTAGACTAGTTTAAGAAGAAAAGGAAGAAAATCTCCATCATGTGCTTCAATTGAAAGGTCTCATTTGTCTATGCGTAATGTACTTGTGACAGTCAGAAACCAACAGAAGAGGTACTACATTCAGAAGTTGATTGCAAGAGTCCAAGCAGGCTGTTGGCCTATGAGTACAGCCAATGCTAAGTGTTTACATCTACTTAATGCTTTGCCATGAGAATCCTTCTTCCTTTGGATAGCCACATCCCCAAAAGAACTAATCCTAGTATATATGCTAAGCATGGTGGTCAGACAACATCTTTCTTACACGATACTGAAAGTCCTAAACAGGAAACCAAACAGCTTTTACTCTGGACTGTTCCATATTTGCTTTAGAAATACAATAATGCTTCATTCTTCCGACACAGCTATCAGATATATTCAATGCATTTTACTGAGAAGAATAAACTAAACCCCATAGCTCCCTTATGAGGTAGGTAAGTAAGATTCTCTCCGGTTTAAAGCAGAAAATTGAGGCACAGTACAACTAAGTCCATGACACTGCTTGAACCCAATCCTCCTCCCAGTTTTATTCTAATAAGAAAATCACACATAAAATGAATGAAGTACTACATGTACACAAATGGATCGGTATTCCTATCAAAATATATAAACTTTACCTGTAACAGTTTACTTCATTCTATTGAAACACCGCCTAAAAATAAGTCCTGATAAATATAGTGTAATAAAGTCTGAAAATATTATGATAATGGTTTTATAAAAACCTGAGATGAATCCTTGATGGACTTAATTCATTTGGTGAACACACTCTCACACTTTTAAAAAAACATGAAAAATGAGATCATCTGATAAGACTGTTAGACTGAGGCTCACGTTGCATTTGATAATGGGGCAGATTTGAAAGCATTTACTGCGCTGGCTGCAAAAACTCTGACGTGAACACAGCTTCTGCGTAATCCTCACAAACATCCTGCAGCTCTGCTGCCACATCACATAGGGCTTCGTCTGTTAGTTGCTCTGCAAGACTGAGGGAGAGGGAGGGGAAAAAAAGAAAAGGTTCAGAAAGTCAGATTTCAAATTCCAGTCATTCACTCCATTGATATCAATGCTCTGATTTTAAAAGGCAAATACTCATGTTTTTTCATTCTTTCTACTGCTTAGCCCAAGAAAAGATCTGATATGTGTTCTGATATGTGTTACATAAGATATCAGAAATTCTTTCCTCAGTCTGGGTCATAGCAAAGGACATACTTCAGGCTTAAAAGTGTTTAGAGATCTCAGTTGCTTCCTTTTTTCACACTCTTAGATACTAATCCTGCTTCGGGAATAGGAGTTAACATACTATGGTGTTCATCCACAGGCCACTGAAGTAAATGGGAAGCTTCTTATTGATTTTAGCTGCCACTGAACCAGGCCTTACTGAGAGCAATAAAGTTTAAGGAAAAGTGAGATGAGAAATTTCACTTTTCAGTGATGTCTGGACCACAGCAGATGTTACAGAAGGAAAAACTATTTTAGTGTAAGAACACAGTTTACTGGCCTCTTGAAAACTCCTCTTCAGAGTTTTGCATATATTCTAAAATATCATAAAGTTAGTCTTTCTAAGACCTTTTGAGCATAGCATGGGAGTGTTTCTTTTGAACGTTGTGTGATACTGTTTTATATAAAAGATTTATAATGCCCTCTGGTGGTAAGAATAAGTCAATGAAGCATGCTGGATATCAGACTGCATTTGTAGTTTGATATATTTCAAGTAACAGCATGTATCAGGCAAATGGCAGCAGTGGAATTCAGCTGTCAGAAGGAGAGATTCACTGCCATTTAATCCATCTGCCGATCCCAAGAAGGTGTCAGTCCTTGAACTACCCAGCTTCACACCAATTAGGAAAAGGAGTACAGTTCAGAAGGCAGAATGACAGTACTGAGAACTGACAAGGCATATTTCAGTGGTTTAGTTCAGCAGATTCAAATACAGTGGTCTAACCACAGTTATTAAAACATTTGCCTACTTATCCACAGTTGGGCAAACCTTCAACACACATGATTAACTTCATGCATGCAAGTAATCTCAAATATTGCAGGACCTGTTCCTGGAAATACTGATGCAGACGCCAAATGTTACTCAAATGAGCTATACCACCGATTTCCATGCTACTACATTAAAAATGTGTGCAGAAGTTGAAGAACTCTGGGCAATTAAGCCTGATGTCCAATCTGCCAATACAGACAATTATGGCAAACCACTCCATCTACAACCACTGAAGTTATATTTTATAATTCTTTCTCAGTACTCCAGAGTTTTCTCCTTTCACTTCTCTCCACTCATAGTCAGAAGTCTTTTGATTTCCACTCTGCAGGGAATTAATGGCCTTTCTATGCCAACTGATGTTGTGCCAGTATTTCTTCAGTTCTGAAAGAACAGGACTAGCAAGGTTCAAATTCAGCCTATATTTCCATGCTTTTTTTGGGCTGGGACTTCACAAGACCAATAGGTGATTTCTGAAATATATCATACGTATTGAGAATGATTTCTAGGCAATTGTAGGCAATCACTCAAGAAAAGTGCAAGGAAATGATAACCAGTGATATCACTTAGTTGCTATACCTGTTACTGAGCAATCAAAACACTTATTTGAGCTTCAGTGCAAGGTGGATATTTCAGCTCACATTGCCCTGCTTGCTTAGCAGACATTGAGCATGATAAATAATTTTTCTTTGCCAAGAAGTGAACAGCAGAGAGACTGTTACTTATTGCTTCTTCACCTCTTCTATTTGTACTAAGGGATGGTGAGCCACCTATGTCACACTTCCCACAGTGAACTCCATGAAGCATGAAGACTTGTGGAAGAGGAAGCACTGAAATCTGCGCTAAGGCCAGTGGTCTCTTTTAAAGAGTATCTACTGTTGTTCCTTGAAACATCAACTTCATAATCCCTCACCACAAAGATTAAAATTTGCACAGTTATTTACAGTACTTTATTTCTTTTTCACTCAACAACAACAACAACAAAAGTTAATTTTGTTTTCCTTCAATTTACCTGTTGACGATAGTCTTCTGAAAATAATTTAAGTTATCCTGTATTTCACACAGTTGTTTTTGTGGTAATGCCATAGAAAGATGTGAAAAATAATCACTCCTCCAGGACATTCTGCTCCCATATCCTTTCGTTTGTTCAACTACCTTAAAAATCCATGAACACCAAGTACCAGTAGAGAAACAGTCCAATAGCCAACTGCTTTTGGCTTTCAATTTAGAATTTAAATGGCCCCCTCCCCACTCCTTTCCTGAATAAGGACAGAAAAAACTGTTAATCAGCTGATACATTCACTTCAAAACCACAAAGATAGTTCATATACCTCTCAGCAATCCGCCATGGATTGAAACTGCCTATCGCCTCATGGGAAATAAGCTTTAAGTGATGCTTGTATCTGCTGTTATAATCCAAGATGCTCTGGAGCATATGCTTTGGCACAGAGAGAGACACATAGCACTCTTTCTGTAGCGAATTCCGAGTCAAGGGCTGCAGAATGTCATTTCCAGTCCGCAAGTTCTCCTCTGATTCTTTGTTTTCATCAGTATCACTGGAAATATAAAATAGTCATTAAGCCAGAACTAGATTTTCAAGTACCTTTTTGAAGGATCAGAAAATCTCTTCAAACAGTAACCATAATTTTCTGTAATGAAAACATTATAAAGACACACAGCTCGTATGCACCACAGCTTAAGTGTAGGGCTGAATATTCTACTTACTAGCCATCAAAAAGTTTTTCAAATAAAATGTCCATTTCTGGCTCTGTGTGTCCGATTGATTTGGTTATCTGAATTGGATGAGGAGATGTAGGTCTTTTAGCTATCGATGCAATTTGTTGTTCTAGAAGGAAGAAAATAACATTTAAAACTGTTTCTTTGGAAGAGAAAAACTACATTTATTGCAGGTAAGTCCTCACAAAGACTTTTGCTTCTTTTAAGGGGAAGTCCTTCAGATAAGTAAAGTATTGAAGGTGACGAGCCCCTAAAATGGGAATTCAAGATAGAATTTCCAAGAGCTCAGTGTATCAAAGCTGAGCATTTTAGAAATCCTACCTTTAGTGTAAATAGTTTGTTGTGTCAGTGGATACTTCTAGAGAAGAGACAGAAAATAGCACTCGAAAACTAGTGTAGTCTATTAAGCTTGGCAGTAAATCCAAGACATGGAAAAAAAAAATCCAACAAGATTTGGGCTAAGTCTTCACCAGTCTTATTGTGAGATTTTCCAACCAGTGTAAAACAACACAGTTCCATTAAAGTCAATATGTGATCCGATACTCAGCTTGGAAAATCACTGTAGCATCAATCAAATAGTAGGATAATGAACAGAGCAGGGGGATGGGAAAAACAACAAGCATAAGTCATCCTTATTAGCATGCCACTGTGGCAAACAGTATTGAAGTATGTACATTTATGTACGGGAAACATCAAACTATTGTTTGGAATGCTACCTTTCATTAGTGAACAGTTTCCTACTAATATTACTTAGGTCCCTCTCAATTAAAAAATTAATCTGATGTGAAAAGTTAGTTATATCTTTCATCTGAAGGACTTTACATTCTTTATTTTCCATCCAATAAAAACAAGCAGGAAAAGTGTGATTAATGTGAACTGGAAGCATCCAAACTGTTTTTTTCAAGGATTAAATACTTTTTGCTGAAGCATATTGGATAATGAATTCTGTACAGAAAAATCCAGATTTTCTGAGTGTCCTGGTTTCGGCTGGGATAGAGTTAATTTTCTTCCTAGAAGCTGGTACAGCGCTGTGTTTTGGATTTAGGATGAGAATAATGTTGATAACACCCCGATGTTTTAGTTGTTGCTCAGTAGTGCTTGCACTAGTCAAGGACTTTTCAGCTTCTCATGCCCTGCCAGCGAGAAGCTGGGAGGGGGCACAG